AAAAATGTAAATACTGTGAAATCACAGAATTGTACTCGACCCGTGGTTGACACTAATATATAAAACTTCTTTTGCTATCGATAAAGAATAGTTGTGTAAAATACATATATTTTACTTTATCTGTTAGTTAAATATTATTTCCTCCTCAATTTCGCTTAATCGAATACGTAATCAAAACACAAGTTCAATATACTTGCATTTTCCATTTTCCAATTTTTTAAATTAATTTCTTTTTTTCTTTGTTCCAATAAAGTTTACCTAGCTTTTAAATAATCTTTTAAACAAACTGTTTCGTTTATATAGTTAATTGGTAATTAATTATATCGTTTATATAACTGTACTCTTTGTGCAAACTCTCTCTTTTATTTAAAAAAACTAAATAATTTAACAAAATAAAAAAATATAAATTTATTCATTTTCTTTTAATTGCATGCTTGTAAAAAACTAAATTCACCTCTACTTTCTTTTAAAATATAAATATTTAATTCATCAAGAAAACACTATGTTACGATAAAGTATTTTCTTTTTTTATAAACTTAATAATTATAACATATGATAAAGGAAGAATTAATTTCATTGATCTAAATGATTTCACATAGAAAGAATTATGTAACATGATAATTCCCAACAAGATACGTACTACCTTCAACAGTTTAACCACTTATATCCTATCATTTTACTATGAATAAAAAACAGCCTTTTTAAATACATATTTCAATTTATCTATTACTTAAACATAGTTTCCTCTTCAATTTTACATATCTTAAAACATAAGTTCAATATACTCACATTTTTCATTTTGTAATTATTCAACAAAGTCTACTTACCTCGCTTTTAAATGAACTTTTAAACAAATTTTTTAATTTATACCGTCAATTATTTCATTCAATAAATATTTTCATAAACTTACATCAACAATTACATATAATTTTACTTTTCATGCAAACTCTCTCTTCTACATATATAAATAAACGAAAAAAAATACGATTTTACAAAATCCAGAACAAACAGAAAATAATTCATAAGTAAAAAACACCAACAAAAAAAAAATATTCTCTCTAATTAAAATAAAAAATGAGAAAAAAATAAATAGTAAATGAAACATTTGTACATTTCAACTACCCACATTGTAGTTAACAACATCTATCTACCCACATTCAAACTACTATCCAAACCTACCTATCCACATTTACTAACCAACATTCAAAATACTACCTACCCACATTTAACTACCCATATTCAACTATTTAACCATCCTTTCACTACCATTTCACACGTCTCAAAGACATTTTCTTTCAATTTTCAAAGTTCTCAAAATGAAACTAAGTTCAACCACCAGGAAGAAAGGTAATCTTCTTTCCAATGAAAATAAATTTCGAATATATTTATCGTATAGAGAATATGTGGTTTATCAATTCTATTATATTAGGAAAATCATGCAAAATTATGTGTCACTTTTCTTTACTGCAAGTATTTAATTTGTATTATATACATGAATAGTATAACATACCATGTCTGTCACTGCATAATCAAACGAATGAACGCATGCAATCCATCACTTCCACCATGTCTTGGGATAAGAAAAAATGTAGAGGAATTCAAAGTATATTTTGGATACAAATTCATCAGCCAACAAATTCTTCAATAATATGAATATCAAAGCTAAAATGAAACCTAAAACTTATTCATGCAAATCTCAATCATTTTCATTTGGCCAAAAAATATTGAATCTATCACTAGCTGTTGAACAGCTCGTCTTACTGAACCTCAAGTTTGTTAATATTTCGAAGAACATTTACTGAATCTCAAGTTTGTTAATATCTCGAAGAACATGAAAATTTTGAATTTAGAAAGCACGACTCCTTCGGCATAATCACTCCAAGCTGCTCGGAGTGACCACGCTCCGGACTGCGCAGAGATCGCTTCGGGCTCTGCGGGGTGATCTTGGCGCCTTTATGCTCCGCGCTGCGCGAGAGATCACTCCCCGCAGCCCCGAGTGTCCCAGTTTTTGGGACACTCCGCTCTGCACGGAGTGTCTCAGCGGAGTGTCTCCAAAACGTTACAATAAAAAAAAATACATTATACCCAAAAAATTATTATTTATAAAATTAAAAACATTTTACAATAAATACAAATTATAATATAAAACTCATCTTTCATTATTTATAAAATTAAAAATATTTTACAATAAATACAAATTATTATATAACTAGTAATCTTAAAATTTTTCGTAACCCTTTTAATTTCATTAAATAATTATATTCTTTTCCAAAATTCGACTCAAAAATACATTTTTTATATTTAGAATTTTAATATCAAATTTCCACATTCAAGAATAAAATAAAATGCGAGGGGTAAATATATTTTAACATTCCTTGTTAAATATTTATTTTTAATCTTTTAATTATAACATTTAATTTCTCGAATTTAGTACTTCAAAAAAATACAAATTTAACACATTTAATATAATTTCTTTTCTACGATCAACTACCACGTCTAATGTAAAAAATTTCAATTATCTATTAACATCAAAAAATGTTTCTTTTACTTAATTAATTTTTTAATTACTATAATTCTCAATTACATTATACCATAATTTTTTTTATTAAAACCCTTTCACAAAAAAATACAAATTTAGTTTCTCGAATTTAGTACTTCAAAAAAAATACAAATTTAACACATTTAATATAATTTCTTTTCTACGATCAACTACCACGTCTAATGTAAAAAAATTCAATTATCTATTAACATCAAAAAATGTTTCTTTTACTTAATTAATTTTTTAATTACTATAATTCTCAATTACATTATACCATAATTTTTTTAATTAAAAACCCTTTCACAAACATACATATCTTCATTTTTATTTATTTAAATTATACATATAAATTCATTTTATCTAAAGGTGAACATAATGAACTTAATCAAAATTTTCGTTTTTCTATGTTTTATACACATATAGTTATTAACTATCATTTGATTTATTTTAACTTTCGTATAATTTTTTCTTTAAATATATTGCATAAATATTAAAGTTAACAAATTTTATTTATTCAAACTACATACCAATCATAGTTCAAATTATGTTGTTTCGATTTATATATTGTACTATTATATTTCTAATATGAAACTGTAAAAATATCATAAAGTTTCATACAATTGTAACCAATTATCCTTTCCATCACAATATATATATACAGTTTCACATCAAACACAAAACACAATGGTTCAAATAGTATAGATATAATACTAAATTTTTTGTTCATGAAGTTGCAGTTTCTAAAATGTTATTCATCATCATGAACAAAAATTAGCCAGTTTCTAAAAAATTATGTTAAATTAGTATATGAATAAATTTGTTGACTACTAAACAGTTTTTTTATTACTTTTTGCAGATGTCACTAGAATACATATTATCTCCAAATCAATGGTTCTCTGCTACAATTACTCAATTTGCAAATCATCAATATTTTAAAGATTTTGTAGAACTTATAAATGCAGATGATCAAGCCTCTTTATTGTGCAGTCCATTCCATGGATTCATTTGTGGAAATATGAATAAGAAGCAAAACGACAAATTTAGCAGCAAGTTAACACATGAGTTCATAATGAGACTTATAAACTGTGGTAAAAATAACTAAGTTTGGGTACAACTAGACAATCGTGTAGCTCGTTTTGGCCTACAAGAATTTTGTCTCATAACTGGATTGCCATGTCATGAGCCTACTGTTGATCGAAATTTTAGTAATACTCGACTTAGAGATGAATACTTCGATGGTTCAAAACGAATAACTATGATAAGACTTTCTGAAGTATTTCATATATGTGAAGATCGAGAAGATAAATTTAAGTTGGGATTAGTTATGTTTGTCGAATGTGTTTTAAAACCAACTGGAAGACACATCGATTACAGAACTCTTGGAATGGTTGAACAACTTGATGAATTTCTTATGTATCCATGGGACGTAAGACATATTTTGTTCTATTACATTCATTACAAGAATCACAGCTTGAAAGAATACGAAGAATGCAACAAAATAACCAAGCAGAATGTAAATATTCATTGCATGGTTATCCACTTGTATTCCAGGTATTTTTCTTACATTTATTCCCTATTCGATATAATTTAATCATGTAAAAACGTTAATATTCCATTTTACTTATATTTCAGTATTGGATATACGAAGCTTTTCCTAAAATTGGACGACAATTTGGTCACCGTATCCGTACAAGTTTAAAATGTCCGCGAATGCATAAATGGCAACCTCAAATGGTATTAGCGGAAAATGTTATTAAAGAATTTTTAGCTACTGAAGAGGTATTTTCATTTCAGTATACAATTAAATATATGTTTTATTCTTTATAAATAAATTTTAGAGAATACGTCTAATATTTTATTACAATATTACAATTATAGATTACAGTAATTGCAACGTTAAATCCTACTGAAGTAGAATTGGAAACATTCTGGTATTCAACTCTTTCACTGCCAATTGACAACCAACATTGTACACTAGACAGCATTGTCAATGGTGAATTGGAAAATACAACAGAACAAATTCGAGCATATAACATACATCCACAAGAAACAACTGTACACAGTTCAAATAGAATTGAATCTACTTCTTCCGGTACTTCAGACTATGTAACTAAACAAGATATGGAACAGATGTTCAATGTACACAGACAAGATGTCTTTGGTTTCTACGACAAATTGAAAACACAGATGATTCAAGAAGCAACAAAGCTAGAAGCTCAGTATCATACGATTCTTGAAAATCAACAAAGTCTCTGTCAGACACTTCTTGACAATCAAAAACAATTTTTTGAAGTGCAGCAAAAAAATCAACATGAACATTTTCAGGGCATACAATCTGACATGCATTCTTATGTGGATACCAGTTTCGATTTAATGAAGTCTTACATTGATGAACAAAATCGAAATATACAGAATCAGTTAACCAACTGGAAATCACATATGGAATCAATTGTAACCTCTGTACAACATGATTTGCCCCCTCCAACAAATCAAGCTGAATTTGAAATGCATTCAACATCTGAACATGCAGAAGACGTCGAAAGATCAACAAAAGAAAAAAAAGTAAGCAAAAAGAGACACAATCTCCATCACCAACGGCAACGAATACTTTAGAAGATTATAACATCGACAAATACAAAAACATTAGAGAATGGATATCAGAAAATCCATCAGAGTAAGATATTAAATTTAACTTCGTTAACTTAAATATTCTATTTCGTATTTTACTTATTTAATAACAGTTTCATTTTTTCTTATATAGTGCATATTGGAAAGATGAAATCGGCAATCAATACGCAAGACATTCGCTGATAAATATAATAAATCAAATTAAAGATATAAATATTGTGGTAAGTCAACTTTAGCAATCTTAATTAATTTTACTTCGTTATTAATATAGCTAATTTAAATTTTTTTTTACTAGCATATTGATATAGAATTAAAGCTGTTGCGAAGACTCATTCATGATACATCTTCCCCGGTTTCCAAAGAATATGCAATCATGGACTTTCGATTCGAGAATGAATGTGTTCATTGGTACACAACGATCAAACAAGGAGCAACCGCTTCTGTGAATAATTTCTAGGCATTAGAGCAATACACAAAAGGAGAATTACCTACATTTGCTCGACCCTGGATAACATACAACTATTTATTGATTCCAGTCGCATATCCAGGCAACAGTTGGTTTATTTTTCTTGTTGATTTTGAAAAGTGAAAATTTCAAGTATATGATTGCAACCACAACATTCATACACCAGATGCAATCAAGTTACGTGAAGCCCCAGTTTTGGATGTTGTACAATCATTATTAATAGCTACTGACATTTTCTTCGGGAAGCCAAATTTACGAAAACATAGAAATAAACGTATGAAATTGGAAATCATACCGTATCTATCTTGTCAAAATAATGGGTAAGTATCTCAACAATTTACTTTAATATTTATTTTTCTATTCAATTTTATTTTACATTTATAACATTACTATAAAATAACTTCAAACTAATTTTTTCTGTAGGCCAAACTCTGGAGTTCTTCTTCTCAAATACATTGAATGCTTCATTTTCGGATATCCATTAGAAGCAGTTTCAACTAAGAAAATACGTTTATACAGATGAAAAATTGTCACAGATATCTGTCAAAATGAATATTTTTGCCGTCCATATTTATCATAACCATAACAAAGAAGGTAACCTTTTTTTTTTATAATGTCCCCATCATGTAAAGCAAAAGTTATAATAAGGTAAAAGCATTACCAAAATAAATGTCTATATTCATTAATTAATTCAATCTCAATTTTTTCTACATATACTTTAGTCTTGTTTCTTTCTACTTCTGCTAATAGCTTTTCTCTTGCTTTAATAGGTATGCCCTATCATGATTGATGTTGAAACCAAGAAGAAAAAGCTTTTCATCACCCATCATGTAAGTATCGTGTATTCAAATATCAAGTATATCAAAGAATTGCCGTTTTAACAATTTCTTATCAATGTTTCATTTTCTTCCTTTTGTAATAACGCTATTAACTTTAGAAAGTGGTCATTTTAATCTCATTTGTATTTCAATTTTCTTTCTCTACAAGCTTAATTCAACTTTTGAAAGTGATCATTATAATCCCATTTGTATTTCAATTTTCTTTCTATACAAGTTTAATTCAACGTGTTTTAAATACAATCATTATGCAAATAATTTATATATTCGTTAAATGTGTTATCATTATTCAATAAAACAACTGAAAAAATTGATCATATGAATTTTTATAGAATTTTTATCAACCCTCATAGTAATTTCTTTAGCAGTCTATATGTTTATAAGATTAAGTTAAATAATCTATAATAGTATAATTTATTTATTAACTACTGCAAATGAAATCGTAGAGAAATACTTCTTACCAACTCATTTAGGACAAATAAAAGCAAATCCATATTTATACTTCTCATTTTATACCTTAAATATAACTTTCTAATATATTTATGAACAGATATGCTGCTGCACTTATTTTTGCTACTCATTGGGAAATGTCATAAACTTTGAGAATAATTACAACACAAACGTTTCACATAATTTGCAAAAAATAATAATAACCAAGTTTTCATATACACTTTAAAAACCTATTTCACGCACAAAACAAAATTATTACTGCGAATTTGCCTATTGAAAAGTATAACTACTATTTTCCATCTAAACAGCTAAAAAAAATTCTCCATGAAAATCTTTATTAGAGCATAGTAAATGAAACAAGCTAAAAATAGTGAATTACAATAAAAATTCAATACTAATATAAATCACTACACTAATATCACCTTAAAACAAAATTCAAGCCAGGAACTAGTAATATAAAGTAAGGGATGAACTTTACTGTCCCTGTGTGTCTCTTTATATGCCTTTTTCTTGAACCTTAAGGTGCATATCGTTACTTGAAGTTAATGGGTATGAAGTCTATGTGTGTCCCTACAATACAACCAATTTTCAAAATGTCATAATCAGCTCTTAATTTTCGAAACGATTTTTACGCCTAGGCGAAACCTAAGCGTAAAAATAATGTTGCTTATTTTTTTAAATACTTAATCATTTTAAAAATCATTTAATAATTAAAATAATACGTACTTTATTTACTTGCTAGTTCCTACAATTAGTCAATTATACAATTTTCAAATTTTCGAAATGCAAAGACTAAATTATTTTTCATAGCTTCAACTGGACAAGTCTCACTTAACAAATTTATAAGAACTTCATACATATTTTGAAGTTTGCAACAATACGATAAGTTTCAAAATCATAATATAGATAGTACCGTAATTTAACTCTTATTTAAATCTTTATTGGATAAAGTCATTTAAAAATTTAAAACTAAAGTCAAATAAAAACTTTTTAAAAAAATAAAAAAATAAAATTAATAAACTAAAGCCAAATAAAAGTTTTCTTAAAAAAGAGAAAAAAAAATAATAAAGTATTCGGGCACACATTAAGCCGACGTTTCCCAACAAGTCTAAGCGTTTTGTTTTCACCTCAAGCCTAGATAATGTGTAGGCGCGCTTTTAGAATGCTGATATATAGCAGTCTTATTACTCAATATTTGGGGCATTTTATTATGCCTTCTTAGGTTCAAGCAAACTTAAGTGGATACATAGTAAACTAACTTCCGAAATACAAATTACAAAGGGCCATTTAATTCAAACCTATAGCTTTACATTTGGCCTAAACTTCAAGCAAACTTTAATGGCTACACAGTAGACTAACTTCCGAAATACAAATTACTAAGGGCCATTTGATTCAAACCTATAGCTTTACATTTGGCCTAAACTTGGTCAATTTGTTCCATCTCCTGCAATTCTAAGTTGGCTTCATCATCAGTGTTCGTCGTAGTGATAAAGATGTTAAGATCGGGAATTGTTAGCAGCAGAAGTCGAACACTAAGCACAAAACTCCTCCATGCAGTAGAGATACAACGAGTGCATAAGAAGAGCAGCAAAATTATGGGATAGATATACCAAAAGATATATTGTGGGCAGAATAGCAAGAGCGAGGAACAAACCATTAGGGGAACCGAGCAATTATTGACCTGTATGCGTATGTAGCCCATATTAATTTGAGGTGTCAATGGGATTCGAATGGAGACGAAGGAGAAGACAAAGAAAACGAGAGTGAGAAGGCAAAACTTGATCCAAGTGAAGTTTCCAATGGATATGCCAAAAGGATCCCATTCCCAAGGCATGGCCATAGGTGATTTCAAGATGTTTACAACAAATAGGGCACCATATCTTAGATCAAAGTACGACATTATTCTTCTCTGGGAACTGACGTTTGGGTGAGAGAGAAGATGTAGGTAGGAAGATGATGCTTGCTTAGGCAGTTTATATGGGCATCCCATCTAATTCGAGAGACATGAGAAACTTCCTTTAAATTTCCATGATAGAAAATTCTGACTAAAACCGAGTATAAAAATATGCAGAAAATTTGATACTTGCCAGGGATAAAGGAGAATTGATGTTCATACTTCTGACTGAGACTTCTTGTAAGTGCATGCAACAGTATGAGAAATTTTGATGACAAAGACCCTTTGTCTTGTCATCAAAATCTTTGTCGACAAATTGTAAGTGCATGCAACATTATGAGAAATTTTGATTACAACGTGAGAAATTTTGATGACAAAGACACTTTCATCAAAATCTTTGTCATCAAATAGTAAGTGCATGCAAAAGTATGAGAAATTTGATGACAAAGACCCTTTGTCTTTGTCATCAAAATTTCATCAAAATCTTTGTCATCAAATTGTAAGTGCATGCAACAGTATGAGAAATTTTGATTACAAAGTGAGAAATTTTGATGTCTTTCATCAAAATCTTTGTCATAAAAAATTTGATGACAAAGATAAAGGTCTTTCTTTTTATTTTTTGAGAAACGTAAAATGATATGAATATCCCTGTCATTAGTGGTGGCAATGATAAAATTTGCTAAGTATTATATCCAGACAAGAAGTAGGAAATTTCCTTTATACCCGAACATATCATACATAAACGTATGACAATTGGAGTTCTATGAAAAAAAGAAAAATGGAGAATTCGTCGTTGATGCATCTAAATGAGACGTTCATTTCGTCGTTGATGCATCTAAATGAGACGTTCAGTCCATGACAAATTCCATAGTAACACACTAAAATAAAGAGAGACCTCAAATCCCAACCCAAATTTGCTGTTATGCATCTGATTGACATTCAAGTCATGACAAAAATAGAACGAGACCTCAAATTTCAACCCAAATTTGTTGCTGATGCATTTGTTTGAGTCATTCAAGACATGTCAAATTCCATAGTAACATACTAAAATAAAGAGAGACCTCAAATCCCAACCCAAATTTGTTGTTATGCATCTGATTGAGACATTAAGTCATGACAAGAATAGAGTAAGACATCAAATTTTAACCCAAATTTGTTGCTGATGCATTTGATTGAGTCATTCAAGACATGACAAATTTCATAGGAACAGACACTCAGACCTAAAATCTCAACCCAAACTTCTAGTTGATGCATTTGATTAAGACATTCAAGACATGACTGTTGACTTGTGACCCAAATTTCATTGGGAATTTATGTTTTGGTTGAAAAAAACTTTGAAGAAGGCAAAATATGAATAAAGAAATTTTGGGACAGGGACTGGAAAAATGTCAATGTTACCATTTCTCACATTGATCACTTTTTCAAGTATCTTGATCAATTACAATACATAGATTCTCATTAAATAAGTAAATAATTGCTTCTCTTGAGAAAGATCATTCTGAGACACGGTCATATAGGAATCGTTATCAGTGTGGTCTCGCAATGTTCTGGACTCAATTATTGCGTTACTTGAATCGATGAACAACCGAACCCCCGAATTAAGGATTTCTCTTTCTTTGTATGCCTGATAAGGAAAATGGGAGAAAAGATTGATATTTATAGATGGGTTTTGGGTTGGATGTGATGAACAGATCTACTTAGTCAAGGATATTAATGTCTTTATGTAACATGAAATGGGTGAAAGATATTTCCAATAAATATATGAGGAAATTTTACAAAATGTCTATTTTTACCTAGTCATTTGCAAAAATGTCCACCATTGCAAAAATATCTAATTTGGAAGAACTTAGACCAAAATACCCTTATTAACAATTTATAATTCCACACTAAGACATTTTGTGAAATTTCCTCATATATTTAGTCATTTGCAGAAATGTCCACCATTGCAAAAATGTCTAATTTGGAAGAATTTAGAACAAAATACCCTTATTAACAATTAATAATTTCACACTAAGACAAAAAAATGGACATTTTTGTAATATTGTTATTGACCAATAAAATTTTGACACATAACTTGCCATATTTATTTCAAAAAGTATACATGTCAAATAACAATAAATGTTATGTTTTTCATTGATTCAGAAATGTCGAGAACGACATTTTTAAATATAGAGAAATGTCATGTTTAAAATGAAATGTCATTCTAGACAAATGAAACAGTGTTCAAATGTCTAGAATGACATATGAAATGTCGAGAAACATTATTTTAATGTAACTTCTCATGGAAGCCACTTCTCAAAATTCATGACAAAT